TATCTGATTAAAAAAGAAAAATGGACTGTGTGAAATCGACTTGGGAGGGGAACATTGGTCCCTATTTTATTGATTTTTGACACGCTATCTTAGGTATTTTGGGGCAACGTGGAGCGCTGTCTGGGACCCTGATTTTGAACAGTGCTCTGAAGAAACCTTTTGGAAGGCGGTCCTCCTTGGAAATTGGCGTTCTAATAGGTTAGCGTGGTAGTTTTGTGCCTTCGATGACCGTTTCGTCCCTTCGATCCATTCAACGCATCTTCTCTATAAGATGTCCCAGGAACTTTGGGGAAACTTGGACAAAATAAGCCTACGTCCTAGGACTACCAACCTACCCTGTAGAGGTATTGTAGCCCTTGGCGGTGGACATTGTTCGCTACCCGAATGCAATAGGTAAGCAGAGAACTAGTACAAGTACCATGATTGAAGGTAAGCTTGTTGAAAATTTGGTATTCACCTTAAGTTCACACCGCTTTGGGCTTTGAAGACCACCTAATTAAGAAGTTTACCTAGGTACAATGTTAAATAGCCCATTGAATGGCGCGCTACTGGCTGTACTTTGGCAAAAGCAATTCCGTAGAACAAAGAAATGAAGAGAATAGCGAATTTCTCGCACTGCATGCACTTTGCACAGCGGCTGACACTGCCGGCTTGCCCTCTTCGACGCCCCGTCTGCCGGTCAGTCACTAATGGATAACTTACGGCCGAGTACTTTAATGCCTTCAAAGAACTCGTTGACACTACCATTAAGAGGGAGTTATTTCAAGACTGCTACCATCAGTCCTAAAGGGCTCATTAGCCCCATTGGAAACCACTATTTTGAAAGGGTGGGCTTGGGTAGGGTGCAATTTTTGGCAAAGGCTCACAAAGATAGAAAACTCTGAGCGATCGCTTAGTAATCAGCGAACAGAGCGCTTATTAAATACGTATGAGTGAAGTAGGTGATGTTCGGCATACCGATTTCCGGTCCATTTTGTTCCGACTTCCGGTGCTCCGAGCTGTTCCAAAGACGATTTTTCCGGTTCCTCCACGCAACAGGTTCTTTCATACCCTTTCCATAACTCCACAAATTCTGTATTTCCTCGATTTTTTGAATAATTTGAGGGAGGTTTTGACTTCTTTCAAGAAGCCGTTATTATACATTTCTTATCCAAGCCGTCACAATGGGCAAGCCTTAGCCTAGTAATTCCTGGAACGATGAATGTCGTGCTGAAAATCAACAGCACAGGGTTGTTTTTCGAAATCGGATTACTCCCAGCACACAATGGCTGAAGGGGGAGTAATTTTCATTTCCTGGCAAGTGTCAGTCGAGTGATGGAGTGGTTTCGAATTCTTCATCGGGAGACTACTGTAAGTGCAAAGGCAAGGTCAAATGCGGGGTTAAGAATAGGACTTGATCTTGGGCTGAAAAACTTTAGTTATAGAAGGATGAAACTTAAGCTTAGGCTAGCTTTGAGTGACTTGAGTGAATCGGACGGAATACGACCCTTGTGTTTTGAGACACTTCGTATAGCATACATCTTCGTACTTTTTTTCCAAAGTTGAAGCCACAATCTGCGACCGGGTTGATTAGGTTGCCGACCTGTTCCGAGTCCGCTTTTAGAATCTCTGACAGATACCACACCTATCAAAATTCCTGATCGATGGGCCATAAGGTAAAGAGTTATTGGCTTTTCTCACAA